TATTTACCGCTTCAAATTTTCCTCAACTAACGCTTAATGGTAATTCACTCATGATTAACATAGAAAATTGGTTCTTGAATTCAAAATTAATACTAAATCCTGACAAAACTAAAGAAGTGTTTTTCAAAACAACACGTGGGCCTGAAACCCCAGACAAAATCATTCTCAATCAACATAAAATACAATTTTCCACAGAAATCAAGTGTTTGGGTGTTTTTCTTGATGAAACCCTGAGTTTTTCCTCCCACATCAATTTCCTCAGTAAGGAACTCAACCGGTCTTGTTTTGGCCTCAGAATACTGTCGAATAACACAAATATCAACATTGTTAAAACTTTTTACTATGCAAGCTTCTATTCAAGGGCACGTTATGGCATCATTCTCTGGGGAGGAAGCAGTGAAGCCTTAAATATTTTCACAATTCAAAAGCGAGCTATTCGAATAATCAAAAAGTTGAGTTATCTCACTTCTTGTAAAACTCACTTCAGCTCCCTAAATTTACTTACTGTTCCAGCATTGTACATATATGAGTGTATTAAATTTGTGTTCAAAAATAGGTCATATTTCCTACAATTCAACATAACTCATAACTATAGTACTAGAAACATCTCAAATTACAATATTCCATATCATAGGTTAGCCTGTTTTGAGAAAGGTGCTCTATACTCCTGTATAGAATTATTTAATCATTTACCAACACATATAAAACTGAAAGAAAATTTTCAACTAGTGAAGAAGCCTATACTTAACTTCTTATGTAATCTGGAACCTTATTCCTTGAATGATTATTTTGAGCAGTGCCTGGATAGTGTAGGTTCAGAATACTTAAATTTTGTATCCTCACTATAAATGTTTTATATTATATTATATTATGTATTAATTTTTCGTCCTATTTCTGTATGTTCTGTGACTGGCTTGTATATATTACCAATGTATTTGTTATGTTTGTAATATGTAATTTAAGTGCAATAAATTATTATTATTATTGTGCGCCACTGGAAGACTGGCGCATCCGCTCCGTTTCATTCTCATGGAACCTCATGGAACTAATATTTATTTTTTATTCCTCTTGTTTTCGTTGTCGATTCGAGATTGCGCCGATATCTGTTGCAAATTTATATCATTAAGAATGGGGATCGATGGTCTCCAGGCGATTCGGTTGGCGTAGTGATGAAAAAGCCTTGGACGCCGATCCGAAAGGAAACAAACTTTGTTTTGGGCTTGTAATTTGACGGCAGGAGTACTTAACGATATCGAACGAGATTGGGTCCTTATTACCTCAACCATGAAAGGATGCACATATGTAAGAAATCTTATTCTAATACTACAGTCTAATAGTAACTCTCAATACATTGGTCAAAGCGGAGGAAGATTCCATACTAGATTTAATGAACATCCGCGTCGATCTTGAGTACTCAACACCCCTCTATGTGAAACCTTCGAATATCAATAAATCTTGATAAACTACTCTTTGTTCGGTACGTATTTGTAATGTACACTTATTTCTTTTGGAGCGCACGAAAGGAAATTCCAATAATATTCGTGATGAAACATACCGTAGGGAAGATTGGGAGATGAGGTAGGTGTTGGAATTTCTTTGGAACTTTATATAGGTTATAAGTTCTTGAAGATACTTTCATTGGCAAAGCGTGGCCGTTCTACGACATTTCTCAAGGTCAACGACGAAATGTCAAGTAAGCTGACTGGGCCTGTCAAGTTCGGCTGACTGGTATTGGTACTGATGGAATAATTATAGCAGAGATTTCTGAGAAACATTTCCTGTGGAAGTATCTACAGAAAAGTGGCAGGTTGCTTAATTTTCTGCCGTGTTCTAATGGGGTCAAGGAGTTGGTGAGTGTGGCATCACCCACCAGGCGAATAGCTCTTCTCTGAACGGAATCTAATAGCATCAGCGTATATTTGGGAGCTGAACCACATACATAAGAACAGTATTCTGAATTTGGCCGTATTTGTGCTTTGTAGATCATGAGAAGCTGTTGAGGTATAAAGTAGTTTTTTGCACGGAAGAAGAATCCGAGTTTTTGTTAAGCAGCTCTTGCGATTGATAGGACTTGATTTTTCCTCTTATGAGAGGGTGTTGCTGATGTTGAAACTGAGCATAGATAACCTGGTCTTGGTGGGAATGATGATACCAGACATTGTTATATGAGGCATACTGAGTTCCGCCTTTGTAGAAAATACAGGCTTGAGTTTTTGTCTCGTTGAATTCAACTAGGTTGTTGGTTCCCCACACTGTAATTTCTGCAAGATCTTCATTGACAGCGTTGGCATGCCTACGTCGTGAGTTCTTAGTTTCCTGGGTAGAAATGGGAATTCTAGAAGAGACCGCAGTATGGAGAGTACTATCGTCTGCAAAGCTGTGGATAGGGCAAGTGGTTGCTTCCAATAGATCGTTGATATGAAGTAGGAACAATGTTGGTGCCAAGATTGATCCTTGTGGAACGCCGGAATTGATGGCAATGGTATCAGACGATACTGCGTCCACCACCACATGGAGCGATCTGCATGAAAGGAAACTCGATAAAATATGGCAAAGCTGAGGTGGTAAGACTTATGATGGTAGTTTGTGGAGCAGTCCTTGGTGCCAAACACGGTCGTATGCCTTCGATATATCTAGGGCTACAGCTGGAGATTCCCCATGTTTTTCTAATAAAGCTTTCCATTTCGATGGGTGACCTAGGCAGGCAAGTAAATCTCCAGTTGATCGTTGATGTTCGGTGGCGAAAGCCATATGATTCTTGAGGTTTCCAGATATTTGATGAGCTCAATGTTGATGGCTCTCTCCATCACTTTGGAGATGATCGATAACAGGGCAACTGGCCTATATATAGTTGTTGGGCAGGCTCTTGCTTCCTTCTTTTTGGGGGATTGGTTGGACTTTCAGCAAGATGGAAAAAAACCCGACTTGTAGCAGATGGTAAATAGCTTGCAGAGAATGGGTGTCAACTCTGGTGCACACGTTTTGAGAGTAATGGGTGAAATTCCATCAGGACCATTGGACTTATTCGTCGACGACTTTTCAATACGGTTTTCCAATAATGTCAAAGAACTAGTGAGTGTGGCATCACCCACCAGGCAAATGGCTTTTCTCTGGATGCAATCTGAGAGCATTAACGTAAGAGTGGGTGCTGAACCTCCCACTGAACCCGATATGTGAAACTCGGGCAACCAACCACCCCCGTATGGGAATTTCGGTTTTGGAGTGTTTCTTTCTCTTCTACTCAAATGGCGTTGCTCTTATATTGTCTATGGAGGATGCCTCTGAGGGAATATAATGCCGACTTGATTTTTGTTTGACTAGGCTATAGCTTAGTCGGCGTTCTTAGGACTGCTGGCTGGATACTGGCCTGCACTGATGAAAGTCAAAGTGTTCTAAACCGGTCTGTAGGTGTCTAGCGTTGCCTGGCTAAATCGAAATCAATAGATTCAATGTTCTTCGTAGCATTTGCCTGGAAAGTAGTTTTTTCCCTCCCGAAATCTACCATTGATGTTCATTTTAAGAACATTGTGTGGAAATGACTGAGCTTTTTGTATTTATATCATTTTACATTGGTATATCAAAAGTCAACTACAAAACATGAAAAATCATAGATTATAAATTCACATGGAGTTTTCAATATAACAAAAAGGCTGTGTATGAAACAAAATAGTATAAGCGACATGGAAATTTATATACGTACACAAATGTATAGAATAAATCAATCTTGTTTATTTTTTATATTTTTCTTATAATCAATAAAATCGTCAAAGGAATGAAATATTTGATCACTGGGAGGATTTCTCTTGTCTGTTGCTTATGACACTCAATGGCAAAATTTTCGCCCTCAATCCTGAATTCGCCCCTAGGCAGTTGCCCCTCTTGCACTGTGGTTAATTCGCCCTGTACATACATATGGCATCTGGTGGAGTTTAATAGTTCGAACAATTACTGTAGCTATTAACGGCTATAGTTGTTGGCTTATCGAGTCGTCATTTTTTTCGTTTTTCCTGGACTATCAATCAAGCAGGATGCATTCCACGTCATGTTGTTGATTATTTATAGCCATCCAGCATCCAACGTGCACCAAGAGTTAGTCGGCACGAGAAATGTCTCAGGAACCATCTGTTTATTTATAATCACTGCCAGATAAAAATAAACACCCGCTTAATCACCGTAATGAAACAAAAGGTGTGTAATGAACAAAAAAACTACGAAGGCGTAGATCGGACATGCAACTATTTTTTTGTTGATTTGGAGTTCGATAAGCATTTTGGACATTTCGCAGAAATTGGTCAAATTGCTAAAGTGTGTTTTTACTACCAAGGTTGTTTTCGTCATTTTTTGAACCACTACCCAATAAAGACATAGCCATCACCTCTGATCTAATTAACCCGAATTCACCGTTCTGATGCAATGTACACAAGAATGGCACTGGAATCTAAATCTAGTAGAGGTAATTATCAATATGCTATCATGGTGACTAGAATTTAATTGAAATTGAAAAGAAGTGCTTTCATAGTGACATAGGTCCATATTTCAGATTCACAAAACTGTAATGATCGAAATATATTGCTCGTGGTGTAAAAAATGTAATATAAACGAAGTAAACGAAGCATGATACGAGAAAAATACAGGAAACAAAAAAGTTGTAGTTTTAGTCGTTCTATCTCAAGGAATTATTGAAATTAAATTGAAGTGAGTCGCGTTCATTTTTATCAATACATTTAATTTCAACACCTTGTATCTTGGAAACAATGCATTTCCGACCTCCTTAAATATTGCCGCGTCTTTTTTTTGATAACCCTGTATATTATGATGATATAGGACTCAAAAATAAGTGGAAATTGATAACTAATGAACATTGACCATCATAATCATGTTCAATTCAGAATTCAAAAACTTTGCTAAGCCAATTATTGACAACATGCATTCTCATCTATGTCGATTCAAAAATATATAGAAGAAAAATGTTATATGCGTGCTTGGATTTTAGTACATACCTTGATTCGTTTATTCCGATTCAGATAACATCAGGTCCACATTCTTCAAAGGTTCCTGTAAGAAACAGAAGAATTTAGATCGATTGCTCCTGGCACTTCTTTAGTCCTCATTCACATTTCGAATTTTGTGTTGTGAAGACATCAGCAATTATAACAAGTAGTAGTGTGAACTGTTTCGATTTTCTTTCGTTCTGGTGAGTACCTACCTATTACCAATAATTATATAATTTAATATTCATTCGTCAGACAATCAGACAAAAGAGGCTAACTATTTTATTTTGTTTCAGGTTGACATTGCTTATATGATAGAAAACACCTCTATTAAGCTAGCAGAACCACTTTGAATTTTTCAATTTTTTCTTCGGCCATAATTTTAGGCTAATTTAAGGCTAATTTATTACCCTATGGCCGAATTTATTGCTCTTCGATTTATGTAAAAAAACGTGGGTTCTGCTAGCTTAACGTTAAGCTAGCAGAACCACTTCGTAAATAAAAGTTCAATCAAAAAACTGATTATGCCATAATTTAAGGCTAATTTTAGGCTCCAATCCTAGCCTATTGCCAATTTTTTCGCACATTGTTTTTTTAAAAAAATCATAGGTTTTGCTAGCTTAACCGTTAAGCTAGCAGAACCAAATCTCAAATAGAAGGAATATAAAAATATTGAGTACACCATAATTTAAGGCTAATTTTAGGCTCTTCGTTGAACCTATTATCGATTTTTTTGAAAATCATTTTCTGCAAAAAATTTCCCAAATCCAACATGAACATGACAAACCAGTAGCAAACCAAAAAAAAAACTTCAATCACAAACCTGATTATGCCATAATTTCAGACTAATTTAAGGCTCTGATCCAAGCCTATTGCCAATTTTTTCGCACACTGATTTAAAAAAAAATCATGGGTTTCGCTAGCTTAACCGTTAAGCTAACATGTGAACATGACAAACCAATAGCAAACCAAACAAAGTTCAATCACAAAACTAATCATGCCAAAATTAAGGGCTAATTTTAGGCTCTGATCCTAGCCTATTGCCAATTTTTTTGCACATTGTTTTTTAAAACAATCATGGTTTTGCTAGCTTAACCGTTAAGCTAGCAGAACCAAATCTCAAATAGAAGGAATATGAGAATATTGAGTGCACCATGATTTAAGGCTAATTTTAGGCTCTTCGTTGAACCTATTATCGATTTTTTGAAAAATCATTTTCTGCAAAAAATTCCCAAATCCAACATGAACATGACAAACCAATAGCAAACCAAAAAAACTTCAATCACAAACCTAATTATGCCATAATTTCAGGCTAATTTGAGGCTCTGATCCTAGCCTAGTGCGAATTTTTTCGCACACTGTTTTTTTTTTAAATCATGGGTTTTGCTAGCTTAACCGTTAAGCTTGCAGAACCAAATCTCAAATAGAAGGAATATAGGAATATTGAGTGCACCATGATTTAAGGCTAATTTTAGGCTCTTCGTTGAACCTATTATCGATTTTTTTGAAAATCATTTTCTGCAAAAAATTTCTCAAATCCAACATGAACATGACAAACCAATAGCAAACCAAAAAAAAAATTCAATCACAAAACTAATTATGCCATAATTTAAGGCTAATTTAAGGCTCTGATCCTAGCCTATTGCGAATTTTTTCGCACACTGTTTTTTTTTAAATCATGGGTTTTGCTAGCTTAACCGTTAAGATAGCAGAACCAAATCTCAAATAGAAGGAATACAAGAATATTGAGTGCACCATAATTTAAGGCTAATTTTAGGCTCTTCGTTGAACCAATTATCGATTTTTTTGAAAATCATTTTCTGCAAAAAATTTCTCAAATCCAACATGAACATAACAAACCCTCGGACAAACCAATAGCAAACCAAAAAACTCCAATCACAAACCTAATTATGCCATAATTTCAGGCTAATTTGAGGCTCTAATCCTAGCCTATTGCCAATTTTTTTCGCACATTGTGTTTTACTCGTTTTTTAAAAAACAATCATGGGTTTTGCTAGCTTAACCGTTAAGCTAGCAGAACCAAATCTCAAATAGAAGGAATATAAGAATATTGAGTACACCATAATTCAAGGCTTATTCTAGGCTCTTCATTGAACCTTTTATCGATTTTTTTTCAAATAATTTTCTGCAAAAAATTTCCGAGATCCAACATGAACATGACAAACCAATAGCAAACCAAAAAAAGTTTAATCACAAAACTAATTCAGCAATAATTTGAGGCTGATTCAAGGCTCTCATCCTAGCCTATTGCCGATTTATTTGCACATTGTTTCTTCAAAAAGTCATGGGTTTTGCTAACTTAACCATTGCTAGCAGAACCAAATCTCAAAGAGAAGGAATACAAGAATATTGAGTACACCCGAGAGTACACCATAATTCAAGGCTTATGTTAGGCTCTTCATTGAACCTATTATCGATTTTTTTGAAAATCATTTTCTGCAAAAAAATTCCCAAATCCAACATGAACATGACAATACATTAGCAAATCAAAAAAAGTTCGATCACGAAACACATTATAGGTACCGAAATTTAGGTACATACATTTTCATCACAATTATATTCTATTCAATGGAAAGTTACTAATCACAATAAATACAAATTTCAGTGCTCTTATGTAGAATGTAAAATGTTGGTAAAAAATCTCGTAAAAAATACAAGTTTATGAATACGAATACATCATATATTTTTGCCTTTAACTGTTCACCAAAATAAGAGACCACTAGTGTGAAATAAAATGCGGAACTGCGTTCGGCTTCAACGTCTCGGAAAGACGGGGAATCACGGAAAGACGGGGAATCACCGCAGCATAATTCGCTGTTGCCGGTGAAGCGCCAGCGTGGCCATATTTTTATACTGATCGAGGTTTTATACTGATCAATAAAATTTAAGAAAAAACCATGTCGATACATTATATATATATATCAGGATAAATATCGTCACATGAATATCATGATATTTATCAAGATCTATATCCGGATATTTATCACTGATACCTATATATTTTATCCTGCTAACCTTGGTTTTTTCATCTAAAGAAATTGCATCAAGACTATAAGAGTATCAAGACGTTCTTAAACAAAACACTCATTCTTAGAGCTTATCCGCAGTCATTTGCAAAAAACAAGCTTTTTTAAACAGGGTAACAATAATGATAATGGAAAAATCTACGAATATTTTCAACATAATATCTTGCACACCTAATATCTTGAATCATGAGCGTATTTCTCACAGAATTGACTGAGCCATCATTATATCCGAGATTATATCCATCATAAAAAAATCAACTACATTCTTTTCACTAAACAATTTCATAGATGCGCGTAAAGTAGGAAAACGATGATGGAAACCTACTTCCAGTTTTTTGCATTTTTTCCATATATAGTCACTACGATGTATTATGCAATGAGATGCATATTATTATGTAAGATGCAGAAATCATCACATGGCGATTCGGAAATATTCAGAAAATATTTGTCATGTTCATGTTGCAATTGAAAATTTTTTTTCAGGAAATAATTAACAAAAAAATCGATAATAGGTTCAATGAAGAGCCTTAAATTAGCCTTGAATTATGGTGCACTCAATATTCTTACATTCCTTCTATTTGAGATTTGGTTCTGCTAGCTTAACGGTTAAGCTAGCAAAACCCATGATTTTTTTAAAAAAACAGTGTGCGAAAAAATTCGCAATAGGCTAGGATCAGAGCCTTGAATTAGCCTGAAATTATGGCATAATTAGGCTTGTGATTGAAGTTTTTTTGGTTTGCTATTGGTTTGTCATGTTCATTTTGGATTTGGGAATTTTTTGCAGAAAATGATTTTTCAAAAAATCGATAATAGGTTCAACGAAGAGCCTAAAATTAGCCTTAAATTATGGTGCACTCAATATTCTCATATTCCTTCTATTTGAGATTTGGTTCTGCTAGCTTAACGATTAAGCTAGCAAAACCCAGGATTGTTTTAAAAACAATGTGCGAAAAAATTGGCAATAGGCTAGGATCAGAGCCTAAAATTAGCCCCAAATTATGGCATGATTAGTTTTGTGATTGAACTTTGTTTGGTTTGCTATTGGTTTGTCATGTTCACATGTTAGCTTAACGGTTAAGCTAGCAAAACCCATGATTTTTTTAAAAAACTGCGCGAAAAAATTGGCAATAGGCTAGGATCAGAGCCTTAAATTAGTCTGAAATTATGGCATAATCAGGTTTGTGATTGAAGTTTTTTTTGGTTTGCTACTGGTTTGTCATGTTCATGTTGGATTTGGGAAATTTTTTGCAGAAAATGATTTTCAAAAAAATCGATAATAGGTTTAACGAAGAGCCTAAAATTAGCCTTATATTATGGTGTACTCAATATTTTTATATTTCTTCTATTGAGATTTGGTTCTGCTAGCTTAACGGTTAAGCTAGCAAAACCCATGATTTGAAAAAAAGAACAGTGTGCGAAAAAATTCGCAATAGGCTAGGATCAGAGCCTCAAATGAGCCTGAAATTATGGCATAATTAGGTTTGTGATTGAAGTTTTTTTGGTTTGCTATTGGTTTGTCATGTTCATGTTGGATTTGGTAAATTTTTTGCAGAAAATGATTTTTCAAAAAATCGATAATAGGTTCAACGAAGAGCCTAAAATTAGCCTTAAATTATGGTGCACTCAATATTCTTATATTCCTTCTATTTGAGATTTGGTTCTGCTAGCTTAACGGTTAAGCTAGCAAAACCCATGATTGTTTTAAAAAACAATGTGCGAAAAAATTGGCAATAGGCTAGGATCAGAGCCTAAAATCAGCCCTAAATTATGGCATGTTTAGTTTTGTGATTGAACTTTGTTTGGTTTGCTATTGGTTTGTCATATTCACATGTTAGCTTAACGGTTAAGCTAGCGAAACCCATGATTTATGTTTTTAAATCAGTGTGCGAAAAAATTGGCTATGGGCTAGGATCAGAGCCTTAAATTAGTCTGAAATTATGGCATAATCAGGTTTGTGATTGAAGTTCTTTTTTGGTTTGCTACTGGTTTGTCATGTTCATGTTGGATTTGGGAAATT